CCATTCTCAGTCACTTTCTATGGTCCAAATTGCTTGCTAGAGGTATCACATCATACCACAGCTTCCTCCAAATCCAGTTTGACTCCCTAATTTCCTTCACCCCAGAATTTTGGGGCAACTCTTCCCCTTCCCTACCACCCCAGATGAGGGCTGCTTGAGCCATTTCAGCAGGGGGAGCAGACCACAGGTGGGAGAGGTCACATCTTTTGTGGGGAATGTCTCATTGAAGAATCACCCTGTGCTTTATTCAAAGACAGACAAACAAACATGGGACAATAACACATTTTGTTGTTTAAATTTAACAAATCCAGATTGCAGAACTTTTGTGGTGTTCTCCTGTGGCTCAAGACAGTGCCATGACAAAAGGGACAAAACATACAAACTTTACATGAGCTTTAATTCAGCAGCACTGAGAAATAGAAGTGGAGGTAATGCTTAAAGTCCGTAGGATTTACCTTTGGGTTATACTCTGCATTTCTGGCGTGCAGAGCTATGTTCTTCAGATCTAGTTTACAAGCCAAGTTTACAGTCGACACTATATTCCTGAAGAACAAGAGAGGAATTCTCTTACTGCAAAAGCAAGCCTTTACAGAGCCAAAACCCAACATTATTAGCTTAGTGTGAAGTCACAGTCCAATTAATTGCCATCAGCTAATTTCCTGCCTGCCTCTTTCCCACTCCAACACTAAGCTACTTTTGGCAAAACTTGGGTAATTCAATACCAAAATTAAGGTTTCTCACAGGAGAAGATATAACAAAGTTCCAAATTATTAGTCCCTGCATACTAAGCCTGTGTGTCTTCCAATAAATACATCAGTGAAGGCTTTTAGAGCTTTAAATTGCACTGTTACTAAGAGGTTACAGAGTTCCTGCAGCACTCAAGGTGGATGAGGGTATCTTATACTGTACACATATCAGCTACTCCATAGTTGCTCTAATGTAGACAGAACAGCATCTTGTAATAAGACATCTTTTCCTGACCCTTTTGAGAGCAGAAGGGGAGACTTAGCTGCAAAGAGGAGCAGATTTACATCTTTAGAGCTCTGGGATCACTCAGATCCTCCTTGCTAGGAAAAGGCCCCCCTTTTGAGTCGGGTTCCTTTTTGGTCTTTTCATTCTGCAGGTTGCAGTAACTAGCCATATATACACTATTAGGAAATCCCTCATACCAAACAGTTCTTCCATAGAGATTCTTCAGCCCCTGTTTCCCAGGAGAGTACTTTGCCCTTAGGAAGCCAGAGGCATTGTGTATAAACACACTGGTTGGGCACATACCACATCCGCTCTCCTCCATTTTTCTGTGCCATTTCCATTTTTGTATTGAATTTATTGGCATAATGTGCAGTTGTCTTCCTGTATCATCTGTTCATTTGTTCTAAAAAACCCTCACACAGTGTATTTGGGCCCAATCCATTCTTCTTACATTCTCTAACAATAATAAAGTCAGCTGGGCATTTCAAGTAGAACACACCTGGGCCTTAGGGAGATAAGACTTCAGCAATCATGGTCCTGTCCCCAGAACTATGACTTATGTTGCACTAATTTACTTACTGTAGCTGAGGGACTATGCCGGAGCTTTCGGATGCAGGCGTCACGGGGGTCACGGGTGTCATTGGGGTCAGAGGGGGACAGACACCAGACGTGTCAGAGGATGGCTGCGTTGCGTCCGGCCATCCCAAACTGCTTTCCTCCGTAAAGACCCCGCTGTCCTCATTTCTTGACACAGGTCCATCAAGCTCTTTTTGCATTTCATGACCTTCCTCAGAGGGATTTTGTTCTTGGTCATCTTGGCTAATATCTGGAAGAAAGCTGAGATCCACGGAGGAGAAGTCTGGAGGGAGGTCTTTAGGCTGATTAAATTGAGAAGCAAATGGTGCATCTGGAGTTGTCTGAATTGGAAGGTCTATGTCATAAGGGCTCATGGGAGCAAACAGCTGAGGACTAGTTGAGATATCATCCTTGAATTAAGAAAAAAGTGTCATTAAAGTTTCAGTGTTAAAATGTTTACCTCAACTGAGAGATTGAATTAAAATGCATCTTTCATTCAATGAGGAAGTTCTGGTATTTCTCCTCTACCCACATGTATACGCATTATAGCAAACGATACTGTAAAGATTTCAAGCATATTGGCTGTCTCTGGCAAATAAAACTCAAGATTATTTCCCCTCAGCACAGTTTTATTTTTATAGCTCTAGAGTCAAACTAGCAAACAGAACAGCAGCCCCCAAGTTGCAGGTGATGATCCAAACCCATCAACTCCAGTGGTGATTCAGCAGGGTCAGAGATGGAAGCTATGAGGAAATGCAAGGAACCATGGCCTTTCTATAGCAAAGATACGTGTTCCCACTGCATTATGTGGGCAGCCTGGACCACATCACACCACAAACTGAGGAGTATTCTAGGCTTTCATTGGTGATTCAAAGGACGACGTTGGCAGTTTGCCCTTCACAGCCTTTGCCACGCTTCCGTATAAGTAACACAACTGCTTGTGAGTTTTTCCCTGGCAGACAGCTGGCGTTTTCTGGCTGGCTCCAACCCTCCTTCCCTACATTCCAATTCCCTCTCCCTGTGTGCAGGGACAGTATCTGTGTTATGGTAGATCTGTGCTACAGAGGGCAGCAGTTCACAGAGCCCCAAGCAGCTCGGGCGTTCGGCTGCTGGAGGCTGTGGGCCTAATTTAAGCAAGACAGGGCTTGCAGAGCCAGGATCTCTTCTCAGCTCAAGCAGTCAAGACATGCAGCACATCTGTAAGCAAGTTCTTGCATGCTAATGGTCTCCTCTATCAAAATCACCTGTTTAATTAAAAAAAAATAAAAGGCACTGGAATAGCAAGGAGGCAAGTGCCCAAAGAAGGACATAGCAGCGTGGCCATGGGCACTCTGCATGCAGTGGGGCTCTGCTCCTGGGTCTGCCAGCGTGTCCTGCTGCAGACACCTGGAAAATTGTGAAGTGGCAGAACCCGCAGAGAGGCTCTCCTAGCCCTAACACAGATCTCATGACAACAGCTGGACAAATACCTTGAGTTAACCCTGTTTCTCCTAGGCACAGGGCCCCATAGGAGATCAGTTGGGGTGAACTGGTCCTGAATAAGTCTAGACACTCCCTAAAACCCTTTGGTTTTCTGGAAGAGGGCTCCAAGCACACTCGGAATTAGTAAGTCAGAAGCATATTTTAAAGGAATAAACAGATGCTTGCAAAGAGACAATACGCTGTGGAATAGCTAGGCATCTTGTTTAACAATGTTTTAAAACAGTAAATAAATATATATTCCACATTAGCAACAGAGAAGGAAAACAGTCTCCAAAAGTCCTACAATACGCCAAGATTTAGCTGTACAGGAGCAGACTAGGATTTGTTTTTTCCTTCTTGCAAACCAAGTGACACTCAGCAGACAGTGCAACTAAAAACAAAGCAACCTTTCCCCCAAACTCATCACTGAGTCTCACAGGACTGTTCACATACTGTAGTCAGGGGCAGAGAATGTAACAGAGTCAAGAAACAGATGCTAAGCAAACAGCTTGTGGCATAGCTTGAAGAAAGGAGTTGATGGGGAGGAGAGCAGTATGTGAAGCCCCAAGCATTAAATAGCTGAAAAACAAAGAGAAAAACTGCACAGAGTAGAATGAAAGCAAGTCTTCTTTTCTCATCAGGTTTCCAGATAACTTTGGAAAGCAAAATAAAAAAACATAAACACCCCCAAACTTTACAGGGTTAACTGCATGGAAGACACTTCTTGCAAGGCAGATGCTGAGCAGTGGTGCAAGGGGCACAGGACCATGGTTACATTGGGCTGCCTGCTGGGTGTTCCTGCCACAGGCTCTGGGTTAAGGAGCTTCACCCAAGGGCTCCTTGGCTGCACAGCTGGGAGATCTCCCCCCAGCTCCATAAAGAAGATCCGAGATCACTAAGGTGGGGTGGTTTGAGGGGTAACAGCCACTTTCTGTGGTTTTCATTCCCATTACAAGAGGCCAGGCAACCCACAGAGGCATAAATCAAAGCCAGCTGCTTTAAACAACTGCCCAGGTCTCTCTTCTCCCCGCTTTTATTCCTCACCTCCCTCCAAACTGGTACCTCACACATTTGCTCCAGGTAGCAACCCGGCAAGCCTAGAACACAAACCTCAGTGATAGCTGGGAAAGCTGGCGAGTTGGAACTCCCTGTGTTAGACCCCTTAGAGTCTAACCCCTTACGTCCCACCCCTAGGAGGGACACAGATTTGAAAAGCACAGCCAAACCTCTTCCCCAAGCAGAAAAATAGCTTGAAACAGGACATCAGTGAGAAGCAGAGGGCACAGGAGCAAAGTGCTGCAGGGTGGGTGCGGGTCTTGGCTACAGCCTCGCACCAGGGAGCTGCCGGAGATGGGGAAAAGGGGGAACAGGGATATTTTTTGCCCAGAGCTGCCACAGCAGGAGCAGCACGTGAGGCGCGGGCAACAGCGCCGCGTTGGTGGTATAGTGGTGAGCATAGCTGCCTTCCAAGCAGTTGACCCGGGTTCGATTCCCGGCCAACGCAACCTCCCATTTTCCCTCCCCTCTTTTTTTTTTTTTGTTTTTGTTTTAAATTTCCCTTTTTAAAGCTTCCCTACCTGCCCGTCACAGCGTTCCAGGTACTGCTCCAGCTGGGATGTGCCGTCCATGGACACAGGGGCTACCCCCTGCCTGCTGCAGCCTCCTTTAAGCATGGGGGGGCAGCTCCATAATCACCTGTGTCCTCTACCCAGCCCCAGGGCAGGTGCAGCTCATCTGGGGCCATGAGAGCCTGTGTGGGGGTCCCATCTGCCCCACATGGGGCTGCAAAGCATGGGGCAAGTGGCATCTAAGGGCTCTCCCTGTGGGCAAATACCCCTATGCCTGCACATAGCACAGGTGGGAGGCAAGGAAATTTTGGGGAATTGGGTGGAGGTAGCTCTCTTGGAAGCCTCTGTGGGATGTTCTGCCCAGAAAGGCTGTTGTGGTGTTGATTATCTTGGCAGAATCCAGGCCAAAGAGTCCATTTAGTAAGCATGGAGCAGAACGGAATTCACAGTCACGTTAAAACACGCACAGAGGTCTTGGTGTGGGGCTGTGGAGCTGCAGCAGGCCAGCGTGGTGCCTCACTGCACTGTTTTTTGCCCAGCTGCCTTTGAGCTGGGCGCTTTTGGTGGCAGGGTTGTCTGCAGGGACCAGCTTGGTCTTGGGGAAGTGCTAGGAATGGCTGTGAACAGCAGCCTGTGAACGCAGCCTGCTCGTGAGCTCCCCTTCCCTCTGCTGACCCCTCTCACCTCTGTAGGCTGCCGATAAAAAAGGAGTCAGGGCTGTAACTTAGATCTGCCAAAGATAAAGCCTTGTGTCTTGCTGGTGCCTTTTAGAGAGCAAGCGTAGCATGCCCTTAATTTCTCCCACCTGCCTCATTAAGTGCAATAAGTTGCACCTGGCCCCAGGGGGCAGAGCCTTTAGCAAGTCTAGTGCAAGGTCAAAGCCCCCAAATTCAATAGCTGTGCAATGGAATGACCTCTCAGCTGGGCTGGTGCTGCTAACATTGTGGAGGAAGTATTCCTTATAATTGTTACTATCAGTGCCTGGGAGTCTTTTTTCTCTTTGGTATCTCTCTGTTTCCACCATGTTAAGATTGTCTCTTAGTGCAATGTACCCCATTCCCTTTCCAGAAGGCTCCTGTGCCGTGAGCAGCCCAGCAGATGTGAGGAGGATCAGTGTGAAACCTCTGCCGTGTTCCCAGCATGGATTTCCATGAAGTGTCTGGGAGAGCTCGATGCTCGGGAGCTGCGCACTGCCGACGAGGCTCAGGCGCTTCATCACTGGGTGCCAGTGTTTGCTATCTGACTTGTTCCTTCTCTCCCTGCCCTGCTGTGGTGCCATGAGTGATGCCTTGCTGTGAAAACTCAGGTGTGGAGACATCCTGATCCCTCTCTTGGCTGCTATGTTGGATAAACCTCATGCTCTGCTAGAGAACCCCTTGGGTTTTTGTGTGAGATCTGCTTGCAAGCATCTGCCTGAGCTGAAGAAACCCTTTGGAAGAAGATACCAGGGTCCGTGCATGTAGGAAGAGGTGCTGCCAGGCTCTTCTCGCTGCTTCCAGCCCTTGCAGCGGGTCCCAGAGGTGTGAGGGGTTAGATGTGCAGTGTTGGACATGTGGCTTAAGAGCATCCATCCATCCTGAGCACAGGCTGCTGGGCTGGTTTTGTGGTACTTATAGAGTGTAATCACAGAATGCTTAGGGTTGAAAGGGAGATATAGATCATCTAGTCCAACCCTCTGCTCCAGCAGGGACACCCAGGGCACGGGGCACAGGGCGGCATCCAGGCGGGTTGGAAGATCTCCAGAGAAGGAGCCTCCACAGCCTCTCTGGGCAGCCTGTGCCAGGGCTCTGGCACCCTCACAGCAAAGAAGCTCTTCCTCACATGGAGATGGAAGTGCCTGGGTTTCAACTTACACCCGTTATCCCTCTGGTGCTGCTTTTTGTGCTTAACACTGCCAAAGTGGTGCCCACTTTGGTGCGTTGCACCAGTGATGCTTGGTAAGAGCACTGGAAGACCTTTACATCTTGAAAATGTTCTTCTCATCTACACTTCTTAATCACTTAAGTGTTGCTGGGCTTTTTTTGTTTGTTTGTTCGTTTTAGAAAGGATGTGAATGAGTGTAAGAAGGCAGTCTGAAAACTTTTACAAAGGATCCTGTCATAGGGATATGAGAAGAACAGGTAGTTTATGAGCTGTGGATCATAGAATTATAGAATAGAATGCTCAAGGTTGGAAGGGACGACTAGAGGTCATCTAGTCCAACCCCCTGCACACGCAGGGTCACCTAGAGCACGTGGCACAGGACTGCGTCCAAGCGGGTTTGGAAGATCTCCAGAGAAGGAGACTCCACAACCTCTCTGGGCAGCCTGTTCCAGGGCTCTGGCACCCTCACTGTTAAGAAATTTTTTCCTTAAGTTCCTGTGGAACATTTGTTGTTTCAATTTCTGGCCATTTCCTCTAGTTCTGTCAGTGGCCACCAGTGAAAAGAGGCCGGCCCCATCCTCCTCACTGCCTCCCTTGAGGTACTTCTAGACACTGCTCAGGTCCCCTCTCAGCCTTCTCTTCTCCAGCTGAACAGGCCCAGCTCCCTCAGCCTCTCCTCGTAGGGCAGATGTTCCAGGCCCCTGATCATCCTTGTGGCCCTGCGCTGGACTCTCTCCAGCAGCTCCACATCACTTTATCAATCCTTTAATGTCAAGCTAACACTAGCCACATATAAGCAGTCTGCAGGACCCTGTGGAGATGATGAGATACATTTACCTTGAAGCCCCTGGGCCCTGGTCCACTGTCAGCATTTGGCAAAACTGAGGTGGAGAGGTCAAATACAGAGTTCAAAGTGGCAAAGAAGCCACTTAGAGGTGAACACAAAATACAAGTCTCTGTTGCTGTTTTTTTCTGCTGTGGATAGGAACAGATCTGGTGTGGGCACTTTGTATGGAGGAGCTGGTCAGAGAGGATGAAAGGACTCCAGAAAGAATTGCTGGGTGAGTCCCTCTGATAGCACTGCCTGCAACAGAGCATATTACAAGCAAGCCCAGAAAGGCTTTGAGCACTGATTCGTACGTGACTCACAGCCCTGACAGGCAGAACTCATCCTGCGGCTTCCAGCGAGCGCAGCGTCAAGCGCAGTCTCCCAGCTGCCCTACTTGCTCAGTCATGTTTGCCCACATCGAGCTCTGGCATCTCCTCCTTCAGGAGCAAGCTGCCAGCGGGCGCAGCGGAGGAAAGCCCGGGAAGCGGCAGCGGAGGAAGGCCTGGGAAGCGGCACCGTCCCGCGGATGAGCAGGAGGCAGGGAGACCTGTTGCAGACCCTGTGCAGTTTCAGGTTGGTAGTGTAGTTTGCTGGTGCCTTCTCTGCCAAATGGGTTTAATATCACTTATCTATTTCAAAGGTGAGGTGAAAGGAGCCTTACAGACTTTCATAGAAGGCTGCGCTATCTAGGTTAGGGTTAATTTGACTCAGTGGACAGGTCTTCTGGCTGCCGCTGGAGAGGTGGCACCTTATGGGTGTGTTGTTAGGGCTTGTCTGCTCCTCTCAGCCAAAACCATCAGAGGCATCGTCTTCTCTCTGCTGCAGATGACCACTCGTGAGAGCTGTCATCTACTCCGTTTCTGACCATCCAGGCCAAATAATATCAGCAAGGGCAACTACTTTCCCTCTTCTAGCTTGGAAAACATCCTTTCCCCCTCAGGCTGCTGCCTGCACCTTGTCCTGGGGCAGCCTGGGTGGGCACGGGGCCGAGGTGCCCCCCGGGCGCGGGGCAGCTCTGCTGTGGCGGCAGCCGGCGTGCGGAGCCGCTGCTTTAATTAGCACCGTGGTTAATTTTTCAAGGGAAGGCTAATGAGTGGAACTGCCACAGAGGCTTTGTGCGCTCTCCTAAGAGGCCGTGGGTATCGCTGTTCCTGCTCAGGGAGCTGACTGCAGAAGGCTGTTGCGGAGAGCTTCTCCTCATGCTCCTGTTTCCTCCTCTTAGCTGTGTCTGCATATGCATCCCCACGTTATATCTGCTGCAGTCTAGTTCTGGGATGGTACTAATCACTGGAGACTTCCCAAAAGCTGGAAGGGACAAGGAGCAAATCCCTAAGGAAGCTCCCCCTGCTTTGCTCATTATTACTCTCAACAGCCGCCTTCTAAATCTAGCACTCTGTGAATGCCTTGGTACTGACTTTGAAGTTGCTTAATCTCGTTTGGCTTTATCTTATCTTTTTCAGGAGCCAGTGTGGGAATTAAGAGCCCGTGATTGACAGAGCTCTGCTTTCCACTCTCCTGAGCTTCCTGCAAAGTTCTTATAACTGTAGAAGTCTCCAAAGAGCATAGGTTGTCTCAGGTGGCACTTGTGTCTCCTGGTGGCATTAGAGCTGTGCCTCTGGAGGAGATGGAGGAGCAACTAAGAGCAGGATTGAGCACCAGGAGCAGTGCACTGTGCCCAAGTTACCTGCAAATGCAGCATTTCCAATGACTCCGTTTCACTGGGTTTTGTAGCAGCAGCACGTACAGCTGGAGCAGTTCCACCAGGAGGGGGGTGGCAGTGTCTTCAGTCCCCCCTCTGCGTCACCGTGAGTGTTTCACCCTCTCCCAATTGTCCGTTCCACAATGCTCCATCCTGCACCTGACTGATACTTGTCCATATTGCCAGCTTTTGGATTTTTTGCCAGAGAAGAAAAGAAACCCCCAAGACTAGCCGAGTAATAGTGAATAATTTAACTATTAGCCGTGAGTAATTATAATCATTAAATTATGCTGGTGCAAATAAGAAGAGAATTGGGCGCAGGAGATGTGGTAGCTGGTTCCAACTTGCCTCTGCATAGATGGGAAGTGATCCTGTTATGTAAGTGAGGTTGTCGTGGCTTGAACCTGGGCTGGGTTCAGAAGCCAGTTTAATACTCCTGGCCTCGTGGTGCAGGTTTATTGGGCGAAGGGGAGGAGGGCAGCAGCTCACTGTTTTCCCACCTCATGCCGTGTGTCCATCCCCATCTCCCCAGCTCCTTGTCCCAGTTAAACAGGGACACTCTCACTTTCTGAAAATGTTAGTTGGGTATTGGGAATCTTTGCAAGCATGAATTTACTCCTAGATCTTGTTAGCAAATGCATGTGTCTTCCCCATATGCTGGTCACTGCC